AATGCATTTCGAGAATTACTGTAGCCGTGACTCATCTCCAGTTCGACCGTGAGCATTCATCATCGTGATACAATGCCGGACATCGGCGTCGCATCGTTTCTGCTACGGTATTTTCAGTTCACAATTACAATACTCATCATCAATCGTAATCCTCGCTACAGCAATACTCTTCCCGCTCCAGCCGCTGAGAGTTTAACTAATTTTCTCAAGAAATAGTCGTCAGAACTCAACATTCTGTAAAATGCTGACAGAAATCTTGATTTGAAGAGCGATTTCACGGCAAAAAATGCATTTTTTGCAGGATCTCTCTGATCACTTTTTGGACCTTTGCTCCCGGTTTGAAGGCCCAGCATGGAAGCCGTGGTCTCGCTGGTTGAGCCTCTGCAGGCTGTCTCTGAGGCTGATCAGTTTTAGAAGCGAAAAGTTTTGTTTTCCCCATAAATTTCATGAAGAACGGTGAAAACCTCGATTTCTACAGAATTTAGCCACAGAAAATGCCTTTGCTCCCGGATTGGGGACCAAGCTTACATGTGTTTTGATCATCCTTGTTAGGGAAGCGATTATGTTGATTTTAACTATGCAAGGAAAGAAGCAAGCTGTATGAAATAACTGAGTTCTGGTGGTGGTATCTGGAAGGAAAAATCAGATATTATTTTGTTTTAATATTAAGTTTTTCTACGAAGAGGAGTGAACACCGTTTATACTCAGATGCAGTCCCAATCAAGCAAATACTAATTTTCTGCCCCGACCCAATTACAGCGAACCATAGGGTCGCTAGTAATATAATATGAAATTTTCTAAAAACACTGTTCCCGGTCGGCGAGTACAACAAATTCTAAGAAGTTTTTGTCGCCACAAACAAACTGCATGTGTTCCTTTTTTAGGCGGCACACAGGCTACATACAAATTAACATTTTCAGATGGCATGCGTGTTCTCTGCTCCGTCATCAACTGATCCATCATGATCGCTTTACCATGTTTATAAGTTAATCTTTCACAATAAAGATTAATCATTGTCCTTCAATCATTTTTATACAGGGTGTAGTATAGATTACATAGATTATAGTATAGATTGTATGAAGTATCAGGGCTCAGCACGAGGTAACTTTTGGAAAATGCAGAAAATAATTTCCCCCTTAACTTTCCCAAGATTTTACGAAGTTTCCTTTGACCCTAAACCAAAATCATAGAAAATCTCCAAAAAACGAAACGTCGACCAAGGCGAGCATCTCAGCCATGAGTGATTCATTCGCGCTGCCGTTTGGGCAGTGCCATAATTAGGGACCACAATTATTTCTAATGATATCAACATAAGTCCAAATTTAAATGACCGCTGCTAAAACTGCATTCGGATTACGATTTACACGTATTAGTGCTAATTATTTTGTAAAGCGTGCTAGCTCTATCAAATAGTGCCGTAAGCATCATAACACTTTCTGTAACACAAGGAATTACTTTAGCACCAAGAAAATTTTTATCTTGTGAGCAAGGTTTAGCGAATGTGTCACAAGAGCTATCACATTTCGTTTCTGCGACACATTTGAATAAAAACCATGATCTTTTAGCAGCCTGAATCTGTGAAGTTTAGTGTCATATGTTAAACGAGAAGAAATCAACACTACTTACTCATATCTCTTGTGAACTTTTTCTGTGATTGTAGCACTCTGTAATCAGGCGCTTTTAGTCTCAGTTTTGATGCACTCTGTCTCTGGTACGGCTGTACATTTAGTCTTCTAAGCACTCATAATCTCTAAGAGTCGTTTCATATACGGAAAACCTGAAAATCACGTTTTAAGGCGCCTTGATATAAATCTTTCGATGCGCCGATGCCCTATCTATTTGGCCTTACTAGAACGGGAAAAATTATTTGAGATTGTAGTGAGTTGCACCAGTTTAAAATTTCGCAGGATAGTGATTAGCAGCAACTCAGAATGACAACTTTGGCATATTCATCTTTCCCCGTTCTCCTGGACGAGCCAATTCCAAGACTTAACCCGTTTTTCCAGAGGTGAAAAGCGCTATTTGAGGGCGAACCGCGTATCCGCTTTTTAGAGCGCAATTGGCTTGTGAGTGGAGACACCGCACCTATCGTATTCACGAGCCAATCGCGCTCGAGGCCAGGCATACGCCGTCCGCCCAAATAGCACTTTTCACTTCTGGAAAAGCGGGTTATTGATATCTTTTGAAGCTGCAAAGCACTGTCTTGGATTTACCTCATTCAGGAGAACAGAGAAGATGAATATCCCAAAGTCTGCCGAGCAGCGGACCATTTAAACACTATTCGAGTAGCTTTTTATTTTCTTTTCAATAGAATGCCCACGCAACAAAATGTTCTCAAATGCTTTCAGGCAACAGCTGCAACCTCCACCCCTTGACTCTAGCTGCTCATAGCTTCTTTAATTAGTCGAGTTTCCATTTCAAACATGCAATAAAATTGATTTAATAAATAAAAAATCCTATACTATATGAAATCCTCCATAATCTTCTTATTATACAAAATCTTTCACAATGTCTTACAGGATCATTATAGAAAATTTCTCTAGTCCTGCAAAATCATAAAGTACGACTGCATCAAGAGGATAGAAACTTTGGCACTTGGCGTACCAAAGCCTGTCATTGTCCATTATTTGTGCAGAATAAATTTTGAATAATCTCAAAAATGAGGTGTTTTTGAAACTTTCCTGCGTTCAGTTGCTGTCTCTACCAAGAACAAAATTTTTGCTGAAATTAGTGATCAGGTCCGGCACAGATCGTTGGAAACGAGCTGGAATTTTTGGGGCGAAAAAGCAGAGAAGATATCGTTTTTGTGGCCAAAAAGACGCAAAGAATTCCGTGGTTTTTTTAGTCGACGTTTCGCTTTTTAAGGGTTTTTGCACATATGGTTTGGGGTCAAAGGGGACTTCGTAAATTTTGGCGAAAGTCAAGGGGGACTTCGTTGTCAAAAAGCCTAGAAAGGAACTCAAGCCGGGCCCTGTTGATGATTGTTAGAAACTTCTTGATATAGACAAAGATTGTCTGAATCATAGATGCGGTAGGTGGAGAAATTTCTCTGACTTGCTTCACTTTAGGGCCGGCATCTGGCTCACCCCTTTCACTGAGATGGAGACTAGAATCAAGGCATAACGGCATAATCAAACAGCTGCTACAACGGCGCTTTTTATTTGGAAAGGAAACGCTAGACACAGACATCAAGACTGCAAGAGATTATCGAAGCAACAGCGTTTTGCATTTTCTTGGTGCTAAAGTAATTCCTTGTGTTACAGACAGTGTTATGATGCTTACGGCTCTATTTGATAGAGCTAGCACGCTTTACAAAATAATTAGCACTAATACGTGTAAATCGTAATCCGAATGCAGTTTTAGCAGCGGTCATTCAAATTTGGACTTATGTTGATATCATTAGAAATAATTGTGGTCCCTGATTATGGCACTGCCCAAACGGCAGCACTCATGGCTGAGATGCTCGCCTTGGTCGACGTTTCGTTTTTTGGAGATTTTCTATGATCATGGTTTAGGGTCAAAGGAAACTTCGTAAAATCTTGGGAAAGGTAAGGGGGAAATTATTTTCTGCATTTTCCAAAAGTTACCTCGTGCTGAGCCCTCATACAATCTATACTATAATCTATGTAATCTATACTACACCCTGTATAAAAATGATTGAAGGACAATGATTAATCTTTATTGTGAAAGATTAACTTATAAACATGGTAAAGCGATCATGATGGATCAGTTGATGACGGAGCAGAGAACACGCATGCCATCTGAAAATCTTAATTTGTATGTAGCCTGTGTGCCGCCTAAAAAAGGAACACATGCAGTTTGTTTGTGGCGACAAAAACTTCTTAGAATTTGTTGTACTCGCCGACCGGAAACAGTGTTTTTAGAAAATTTCATATTATATTACTAGCGACCCTACGGTTCGCTGTAATTGGGTCGGGGGCAGAAAATTAGTATTTGCTTGATTGGGACTGCATCTGAGTATAAACGGTGCTCACTCCTCTTCGTAGAAAAACTTAATATTAAAACAAAATAATATCTGATTTTTCCTTCTAGATACCACCACCAGAACTCAGTTATTTCATACAGCTTGCTTCTTTCCTTGCATAGTTAAAATCAACATAATCGCTTCCCTAACAAGGATGATCAAAACACATGTAAGCTGGGTCCCCAATCCGGGAGCAAAGGCATTTTCTGTGGCTAAATTCTGTAGAAATCGAGGTTTTCACCGTTCTTCATGAAATTTATGGGGAAAACAAAACTTTTCGCTTCTAAAACTGATCAGCCTCAGAGACAGCCTGCAGAGGCTCAACCAGCGAGACCACGGCTTCCATGCTGGGCCTTCAAACCGGGAGCGAAGGTCCAAAAAGTGATCAGAGAGATCCTGCAAAAAATGCATTTTTTGCCGTGAAATCGCTCTTCAAATCAAGATTTCTGTCAGCATTTTACAGAATGTTGAGTTCTGACGACTATTTCTTGAGAAAATTAGTTAAACTCTCAGCGGCTGGAGCGGGAAGAGTATTGCTGTAGCGAGGATTACGATTGATGATGAGTATTGTAATTGTGAACTGAAAATACCGTAGCAGAAACGATGCGACGCCGATGTCCGGCATTGTATCACGATGATGAATGCTCACGGTCGAACTGGAGATGAGTCACGGCTACAGTAATTCTCGAAATGCATTCGGCGTTGCCGGCGGCGATCAATCCACGATTTCACAATCACTTTCTCATTTCGCGCTCCCTTGCGCCTTAGGAAGTTCATACACTCACGCTCGCGCAGTCGAAAACCTCTGCGAGAGAGTGTGATGTCTCGCGCGCTCACATTGTCAATAACTTGCCCTCGGCAACGCCGAAAGGGGACAGGGTAGGAGACGATCCGTAATTTTCGTCGTCGCGTGATGTTTCCAGTTTATATATACGGAAGAATTCAAAGAATTTTTCAAAAAAAGTAATGCTTACATCCTCCTTATGGGCGCCCGACTGACTCATTCGTTAGTACGTCACCGAGTATTTGACCTGAATAGTGACCTAGAGCACTAGCCAATGATACTTCTGATTAGAATGCAAAAAGCTCATTACCTTCGACCAGCTGGCTCATAACGCCAACAATGAACACAAGAACAACTATAAGGTGATTGAACATTTCGATCATAATGCTTGAAAAACTGAAAAAGTTGTTGAGGTGAATGTTACCGATGCATATAAGAAAGGAATTTATGAGAAGGTTGAGGTGGCCGCTGTACAGTAAGGAAATTAGCAGCTGATACATGAATGGTGTAAAAAATTTCATGGCTCCGGATTTTCTAATGCAGAAGAATTCATCTTTAGCTCGCGAATTACGCACCAATTTCTGTTTAGATAATGGAAACTTTTCCGATAGATTCCTCTGTTCAACAACCGTAATCAAGAGCAATTGATTGTTCAATAACAACTCAAAATTATATTCTATGCCAGAAGAAGGAGAAAGACCGCACGCCTCAGAAAGTGGAGCACTGAAAGACCTTACAAGTACGATGCTATTTAAGTGGGTCTATGCAATCATTATGCCCTCTTGTAATTCATACCACATCAACAACATTAAAAGCCCATTTAACGTATCCCATCGCTTAGCAAAAGCATTTGCATTACTTAATACCACTTAAGTCCCTTACTGCTTCGGAATGCATTGCCAAGCTTAATCTTAGTATTCCTATTATAGGCCTAATGCTTGCGAAAGATGGTTGAAACATAATCCTGTAATAAAAATTTTGGTAAACCATTCGTCTTGCTTTGACCTTCAGTTTTATACTTTTCTAAAGATTTCAAAATGCCTTTTTTGCCTTCCTATACAAAAGTGTAAGTTCGGATTTCAAATTTCATAATAAAGTTCTAAAAACAACTAAAGAAATATAATACAACTATAATAAAAACAATACAACATACTAAACTTTGAAAGCTCGCTCAAGGATCCCCGCAATTTCCTAGAGATTATTGACTGGCACTCCAATTTCCATTGGCCAACTTCTCATTGTCTTTACCTTGTCTAACTTCAACTAAGTTTTAGAGTCACCTTCACAACGTCAGGGAGTAAACTTCAGTAGCCAGCAGGTAAACCATTACCCATCAAACACGTGGAAGACTTTGGTGGGAAACAAAACGCGTTGCTTACCAAAAATTTGTATTGAAAAGTATCAAGTTGTCCCAAAAGTAAACTGCAATTCCAAATAAACTGAGCTGTTCTCGTTTTCCTGATAGACCTAAGGTACCATTCGATGGAACGGAGCAAGCTCTACAAAAGAACTACCCAACCCAGGTAAAATTTGGGGCCAAAAATCAGAATTTTTCTAAGACCCTAAAAATCGGATCTCCATTCAGGAAATTCCTACGGACTTTCAACTTAGTCTTTATAAGCTAGACACACAGTAGTACCTAAAAATGTAATTAGCGGATTTTTCTCCGGAGCCCAAAATAGAGAATAAAGATGATCTAAAAATGCTATGCCTCTTTTTTTCTGGTTTTTTATGTAAAACTTAATATTTCTCGGTTACAAAAGCACATACAAAATTAAGATTTTGAAATCATAATTAGTAAGGCTTGTATACATTGAAAGCTTATGGTTTTTTTAAATGTGCCGCTGTTACGACGATTTGTGCAGCTCTCGTAACCTGCTGATCTCTGCGCTCAAGACAAAATCATTTTGATGCAAAATTAACTCCCTCTGCCACAGACAGTGTATTAACGACACTACTCGATAGAGCTAGCATGCCTTACAGAATAATTACCTTTTGATTCATTTGGACTGGCGGCTGGAAGTAGCCCGCTCGCACCCGCGACGCAATCTGCGTCTCTCTCCCTCGAACGTGCTCTCTGACCATTCTCTAGTCTTGATAAGCTTCAAACCCGCCTTCCAGCCTCCAATCCCAGTGTATCAAAGGAACGTGTACTCGTAATCCGAACGCAGTTTGACGCAAAAATTCAAAATCGAATGCCTCAAAAAACGGCATCTCAATTCTCAATCGAGGAAAAATCTACGAACCTTCTACTTGATTAGCACATGCGCACAACAATCATTGCGAGCATCAAGTAAAACGCAAAAAAAACGCAACGCAAACGGGACCAATAATTTGCTTTGGACAAAGATCCAAGTTAAAGCCACTCTGGTACCAAACATTCGTTACGTTGAAAATAGGTATGAACAAGATCAAGCAGTGTATACAAATTTTAGGACCTGTATAACATCGAACAAAAGTGAATTTTCATTTGAAGATGATCGACGAATAAGAGCGCTTCATTGCCATAGAAGATGGATTGATTCTTAGTCTTTGAAGAGTTTTTCATATTTGCATCGCAGTTGTTCATATTTGTGAACTGAACAACCGATTTAAAGAATTTTTGGATTATAAGTGCTTTGTGGCTCTTTAAAGATGACCGCACACCTTTTTTTGTGGCAGAAATGTTTTAAATGTTAGATTATGGAATCATAGAACTTTCAAAATTTCAAAATCAGTAACATTTTATTCGCGAGACAAAAAGATCAACAAGGTTTCCATACTCTTTCTTCGAAAAGGGTTAAAAAAAATTAAAAGTGTTCATATTCACCGACTATATTATATCCGCAGCTCCACCGCGTCCGCAAACGCGTCGTCCATAGAGTCCACGTCCACCGTAGCCTCTACTGTATGCGTAGGATTCTTCGTGAATCCTCCGAAAACTTGTCGATCTGAATGGTGACTCACAGCGTTAGCTGATAGTACTTCTTCTACAATTTGGCCCTATATGTTAATAGATTACGTTGACATAACAAATTTTATTTGTAACTTCCGTAGATGAAGAGCTGCGACAATGACAAAAAGTCATCAGAACGGTCATCTACTTTTGCAAATCATATAATTTATGTGGGTTCCACTTTTTAACACGTTTCGAACCGCGAGATCGCGCGCGGCGAAAAAGTGTGCACTTTCAGCCATTAGCCAACAAAGGGACCTTATTTCGTAGACTGTGTGATACATCTGTAATCAGCTTGTCAGATAAGATCCATACCCAAAGTTCCGAGCAAATTCGAAGTGTTAGAATTTTGTCGCCTGAGAAAAGACTTCTGTACTTTTTTGAAAGATCAAAAAAAGAACTCAGTTTCAAATAGTATCCAAAAGTATCTTAAGTATGTTATTGCTGGCAAAAAAGTAAGCCATTTGGCTGTCGTCCACTATGGCTGGTAACTCATTTTTGATAAGATGCTGTCCTAGCTTGAAGGTGGGCGCGTTATCGCATCTGACGATGCCTGGTCTTCCTCTGCGCGCCATGATTCTTCTAAAAGCTAGAATAAACTGAAGTGTGGAGTTATCTCTTACCACTTCCAAATGGATCGCGCGGGTTGACATGCACGTGAAGAGGCAAACCCACACTTTGTGGCGCTCAGATGACTGTAGGTGAACACGAATGGGTCCGAAATAGTCCAAGCCGATGTTCTGAAATGGACGCCTCCTAGTTACCCTCTGCGATGGATAATCCGGTGGGTCTGGATACGCATAGGTACGGGCTTGGTATCTCCTACAAATCACGCATCTGGAAATATAGGACTTCACCAAACGTTTCAACTTAGGTATGAAGAACTGTCGACGTAAGATAGTTATGACATGAGACGGGCTTGGTATACGAGTTAGTGCGCTCAAAGGGCACGAAAGAGTTATATCGCTCCAAAATCGTGTTCGTTGATGTCGTGACCGCTTTTGATTGAAGTTCTTCTACTTCTGCTCCTGGTGAAGAAGTAGCTGGTGGCTCAAGTGTGTTCCAAGGCCACCAAAAGGGGTCGTAAAAAAGCTTAGACCGGTCCACCAAATATGATTCTGAAGTTCTTGCGCTGTTGGCCCTTTGGTGGCACAGTCCGCCGGGTTGTTTCCCGTGTTCAAGTAGTAGAAACCGGTGGCGATCTTGTCCGCTCTTAGCTCGTCGAGCACGCGATGGATATATTTAACGCGATTCGCGACGTAGGTTTTGAGCGGCTTGCGCGATTGTATCCAATAAAGAACTATTTGGGAATAGGTGAAAAATCTGATTGTCGGAAACTGGCTTCACACTGCTTTCTGAGAAACTTCACCATCTTGGCTGCCATATGACAAGCCAAAAGCTCCATGCGCGGAATGGTAATCGCGCCAGGTGGGGCTAGCTTTGCTTTGGCAAATAGCAAAGTGGGCTGTGGCTTGCCGTCTGAATGACGTGTTAGAATGTAGACGACGGTGGCATAAGCGCGTTTAGACGCGTCTGAACAAAAAACCAAGTCATAAACGTCGCCCTAGGCGGATCCAGGATAGCGCAGCACCTGCGAGTTAAAACCGCTTAATCCTGCGCGATCGTATTCCATTTTTGGACATCTTTCTCAACAAGCGGGTCATCCCAGCCATAACCGATCTCCCAAAAAGTTCTGGATAAACATCTTAGGTTTTATAAGCAGCGATGTTAAAAATCCAAGGGGGTCAAACGTGGATGCATAAGCTTGATGTGGTGTCCATTTGCTCGTTACTAAATGATGCGCGATGTTGATGGGCGCATAAAGTACATCGAGCGTAGGATTCCACTTGACTCCTAGGAGTTTAACGAAATGTCCTTGTATGTTCATACGGTCATGCTCGGGATCGACAGCATCGTGCTCGAGTCATTAGACGTGAACTCACGAAGGTTCATGCACATCCTGGCAAAGATATCCTTGCACTGTTTACACTTATTCAAACAATCCTCGGTGGAACCTGCTCCAACTATCACAACATAGGTATTGGCAAGAATCTCTTCTTTGAGACGATTCGCTGGATCCTATTCCAAGAAGTACCTGATGTACATACTGAGTAGGAATGGCGATGCGTTTATGCCAAAGGGCACGCGCGCAAAGCGTAATACTCCGAGATTGTCTGCTGATGGTTCTTGACGGACGTCTTTCAGCCAAAGGAATCTAGCACAATCTCTTTGGTCCTGATGGAGGTGGATCTGATGGAACGCCTTTTCCACGTCCGCGATAACGGTAAAAACGGCTTCGCATTAACGTTCCTACTAGGTCTGGCAACAAGGAAGGTCCCTGATGTAGACAGTCGTTAAGGCTTGGAGAGCCTTTCTGGTGAGTGGACGCGTCAAAGACGATCCTCAACTTAGTGGTGGTACTGTCCTCTTTATAAACGGCTTGATGCGGTATATAATAGTTGTTAGGTCCTTGGACAGGAGCATCCTCGATTATGCCATTTCGTAACTGCTCGTCAAACGTCTTGCAGTAGTCTTCTTAGGCTAATGGAATCGCGCGAAACTTCTCGTACTGACTCTGCAGTCGACGAAAGGCCAAAGGTTTGTTATCTGCAAGGGGAGGATGTTCCGATTTCCATGGAAAGGAGACGTAGATGCTACCGTCAACAATAGCAACCGTGTCGTAAAATTGCCTGATGACTCCGGCATTCTCCGTATCTTCGCTTTCGTCCAATTCCAGTGTATCGAGTCCAAGAAAGGTCCGCATAACTGCTTCCACTCTATCTTCAGGGTCGACGATGGTATTGTCGTTACTGTTGTTGACTCTTGGAACCGTGGTGATCTTCTCGCGCGTCCATAGCTCGAATTGAAGTGGACGGTTGTACTGGTCCCAAAGTGTGAGGGTAACCTCTGACGACTCTCCCGTAAGTTGATGTCCTCCGAACGTCAGAGTCGTGACTGCTCTTGTGTTCTTAAACGTCAGGCCCAGATGTTTGGCCAATGCGTACAAATAAAGCTGTATTGAGAACCGCTATCCACAAAAATTGTAAGCAGTTTATCCGTGTTGGTCTTATAATTCTTCGTGACAGCATGGACTACCATTAAACGAGGCTCTTGAGGTGTCGATTCATCATAGCAAACAGAAGTACAAGAGGATGGTGAATGCGTTCCTGCACAGCTGCGAGAGCTTTCCGGCAAATCTGCTTGCTCTTTAGTGGTAGTAGAAGGCGTCTCAAAAGTACAGTCGGTGCTGTGTACTGCGGATATAGGGGTAGGTGACCTCGCGATGATGACGTGCGCCTCGACGGTGTATTAAAAACGATGAAAATTCATGGCCTTCCTCAAAGAATTGTACACGTCTGGGCGAACGACCTCTTCGTGAATCCTGATAATATACTGCCCTAGACGGTGGAGTAGGTGATCGCGGTCCAGATGAGACTTCGTAACAAAGTGCCCTATGATGTGTCCTGCCACAAAGACAATAAGGCGCGTCACAATCGACGTAAGTATGGTCCGGTTGTAAACATAACCAGCAAAGATGTTGAGCTTGAGCTTTAACTATAAGCGTACGCTTCCTAACATCTGGATAGGCTCTACAACGGTCTGGCAAATGTCCAAAATCATGACCGAAGGCACATCGCACATCAGGTGTTCTAAATCGCGATCTTCTAGGACTGTACTTCTAGGACGTTTACCTAGGGTAATAGGACACTGACGCTCTATTGTCAGTTAGTTGGGGAGAGTGAGCGCGACACTGACCTAAACCCGGATCTTGATGGGGTTCGATAGCGAGTAAACGCTTCACTTCTCCTATCCGCACTGGGGTATTTCCAAGGTGAGCGAGAGTCTTCGTCTACTGTCCACATCGAATCTCCTTTGTGCTTGAATTCACCAATCCTCTCGCGCGTACGTCGAGGAAACTTAGTACGAATGGTCTTGATTGTTCCGATCGCACTGGAGTCTTCCTTAAGATGTTGTAGCTGGTTCCACACGGCTTTGATAGCAAGTGTCGCGCGTTGCGACACCGGTGAGTCTGAGGCTGCTGGTAGCTGTGTCAGCTTATCCCAAAGATTGCTGCGAAGGATCTCCGGGCGTCCGTACGTATTAGTCAGGGATCGTACTGCATCATCATAGTTTTCTACTGTAGACTGAAAACCGGCGACGATATTCGCTGCAGGCCCTGCAGATGGGACTTGAAATACATAAACTTGAGCGGCACTGGTACACTGGTGTTATTGTGTACGGCCATCGAGAAAAAGTCCCAAAATTCGAAGAACTTACCGATGTCGCCATGAAACGTCGGGATCTCAAAGATAGGCAATTTCAGCGACTGCTCGAGGGACAAAGTTGAAGTGGGGTTAGGGTTTGAGGACGTTACTGAAGTTGGATTCGGCTGGGCGTGGAAGACGTTACAAAAGGGTTGACAAAAGTTGGGGGGTTGATAGGGGGTTTCTCGAGGGAGTACCGAATCCTTGGCTGAGGCTTGCTGCGCGTGACGCTGCTGGGGCATCAGCTAGTGCGAGAGCATCAGGCTGCGGTGGTTGTTCCTGATCCCGAAGTGACGGGTGGCTCGCGATTTCCATTCCTAACTTCTGCGCGGGCTGAAGGGTCAAAGAAGGATGTTGAGCCAGAGAAGAAGAGAAAGGAACAGTCGGATTACGAAGAAAGTACAAAAGCTCTGAGCTCGCCAAGAGTTTGATAGCAACATCAAGACGGTCATGGAGAGTATTGGCCTCCTCCATAAGTTGATCCAGCCATTGGCGTCCCAATGCTCCTGGATCTCCCGGAGGATGGGATACTCGCCGTGCTCGTCGGAGTGTAAGCGAGCAAACTTGTCGGCCCTCACTCTCTGAGCACGAAGATGTGCACCAGTACGATCAAGAAAAGTAAGTTTCAAAAACAAAGAACTCTTATGACTAAGAATGAACTGTGGATCCTTATCTGCCTCCGTGGTAAGTTCCAACGGTTCGAGGGTGGCCTCATCCACTTCATTGATCTTAATGCGAAGTGCGTTTGCGGCATTGGTGATCTGAGCTTTGTGACTGCCGAGAACTGACATTACCTGAAAACGAACAAAGAGAAAAGCAGTAAAAGGGGCTAAAACAAAACAAGAACTAAAAAGATTCAGCTGCCCGAAAAATTGAGAAAAGGGGCTGAAACAAAACAAAAACTAAAAAGATTCAGCTGCCCGAAAAATTGAGAAAAGTCATAACTCAGTTCATGAAAAATCCTATAAAAATTCTGGCTCACGTACACACAATCCACATAAACCATCTATATACGCTGCACAGCAAGAAGATCAAGCGACAAGGGACTGCAATGGATACACATCTGGAGCAAGATTGCAGGAATGGTAGCTGAAGTGCTAAGTATAGTGGCGGACGTGGAGCAGACGGTCGGCAAGACTGTGGCAACTTGCCAATTGAAAGCTTCAGTCGACAGCGTCTCAAGCCATACAATATTCGGTGCTTACTCGCGTCTTGAAGGACTAGCTCAGGGACAAGCCGGTGTCATCTCCTTGGCGGCTCCGACCGGAATCCTTCCCACAGGGTAGGCGCGCGCAGCGGGCCCGAAGTCGAATGTTGGGCTCCTTCGAGAGTTGTGGTTCACGGCTATGGCACCGTCCCTTTGGAGCCTGGATCACACCGGTAACAGCGCATGTGGGTGATAGCGCTGAATTGGTTGTCACAGGAGGGAGTATTAGAAGGTGCCAAGTAGAAGTATTAGAAGGTTATGCCTCGTACGAGCATGACCGTATGAAAATACAAGGACATTTCGTTAAACTTCTAGGAGTCAAGTGAGTAGGAGTCCTACGCTCGATGTACTTTATGTGCCCATCAACATCGCGCATCATTTAGTAACGAGCAAAAGGACAGCACATCAAGCTTATGCATCCACGTTTGACCCCCTTGGATTTTTAACATCGCTGCTTATAAAACCTAAGATGTTTATCCAGAACTTTTTGGGAGATCGGTTATGGCTGGGATGACCCGCTTGTTGAGAAAGATGTCCAAAAATGGAATACGATCGCGCAGGATTAAGCGGTTTTAACTCGCAGGTGCTGCGCTATCCTGGATCCGCCTAGGGCGACGTTTATGACTTGGTTTTTTGTTCAGACGCGTCTAAACGCGCTTATGCCACCGTCGTCTACATTCTAACACGTCATTCAGACGGCAAGCCACAGCCCACTTTGCTATTTGCCAAAGCAAAGCTAGCCCCACCTGGCGCGATTACCATTCCGCGCATGGAGCTTTTGGCTTGTCATATGGCAGCCAAGATGGTGAAGTTTCTCAGAAAGCAGTGTGAAGCCAGTTTCCGACAATCAGATTTTTCACCTATTCCCAAATAGTTCTTTATTGGATACAATCGCGCAAGCCGCTCAAAACCTACGTCGCGAATCGCGTTAAATATATCCATCGCGTGCTCGACGAGCTAAGAGCGGACAAGATCGCCACCGGTTTCTACTACTTGAACACGGGAAACAACCCGGCGGACTGTGCCACCAAAGGGCCAACAGCGCAAGAACTTCAGAATCATATTTGGTGGACCGTCTAAGCTTTTTTACGACCCCTTTTGGTGGCCTTGCAACACACTTGAGCCACCAGCTACTTCTTCACCAGGAGCAGAAGTAGAAGAACTTCAATCAAAAGCGGTCACGACATCAACGAACACGATTTTGGAGCGATATAACTCTTTCGTGCCCTTTGAGCGCACTAACTCGTATACCAAGCCCGTCTCATGTCATAACTATCTTACGTCGACAGTTCTTCATACCTAAGTTGAAACGTTTGGTGAAGTCCTATATTTCCAGATGCGTGATTTGTAGGAGATACCAAGCCCGTACCTATGCGTATCCAGACCCACCGGATTATCCATCGCAGAGGGTAACTAGGAGGCGTCCATTTCAGAACATCGGCTTGGACTATTTCGGACCCATTCGTGTTCACCTACAGTCATCTGAGCGCCACAAAGTGTGGGTTTGCCTCTTCACGTGCATGTCAACCCGCGCGATCCATTTGGAAGTGGTAAGAGATAACTCCACACTTCAGTTTATTCTAGCTTTTAGAAGAATCATGGCGCGCAGAGGAAGACCAGGCATCGTCAGATGCGATAACGCGCCCACCTTCAAGCTAGGACAGCATCTTATCAAAAATGAGTTACCAGCCATAGTGGACGACAGCCAAATGGCTCACTTTTTTGCCAGCAATAACATACTTAAGATACTTTTGGATACTATTCGAAACTGAGTTCTTTTTTTGATCTTTCAAAAAAGTACAGAAGTCTTTTCTCAGGCGACAAAATTCTAACACTTCGAATTTGCTCGGAACTTTGGGTATGAATCTTAGACAAGCTGATTACAGATGTATCACACAGTCTACGAAATAAGGTCCCTTTGTTGGCTAATGGCTGAAAGTGCACACTTTTTCGCCGCGCGCAATCTCGCGGTTCGAAACGTGTTAAAAAGTGGAACCCACATAAATTATATGATTTGCAAAAGTAGATGACCGTTCTGCTGACTTTTTGTCATTGTCGCAGCTCTTCATCTACGGAAGTTACAAATAAAATTTGTTATGTCAACGTAATCTATTAACATATAGGGCCAAATTGTAGAAGAAGTACTATCAGCTAACGCTGTGAGTCACCATTCAGATCGACAAGTTTTCGGAGGATTCACGAAGAATCCTACGCATACAGTAGAGGCTACGGTGGACGTGGACTCTATGGACGACGCGGGTGCGGACGCGGTGGAGCTGCGGATATAATATAGTCGGTGAATATGAACACTTTTAACCTTTTTTAACCCTTTTCGAAGAAAGAGTATGGAAACCTTGTTGATCTTTTTGTCTCGCGAATAAAATGTTACTGATTTTGAAATTTTGAAAGTTCTATGATTCCATAATCTAACATTTAAAACATTTCTGCCACAAAAAAAGGTGTGCGGTCATCTTTAAAGAGCCACAAAGCACTTATAATCCAAAAATTCTTTAAATCGGTTGTTCAGTTCACAAATATGAACAACTGCGATGCAAATATGAACAACTCTTCAAAAACTAAGAATCAATCCATATTCTATGGCAATGAAGCGCTCTTATTCGTCGATCACCTTCAAATGAAAATTTACTTTTGTTCGATGTTATACAGGTCCTAAAATTTGTATACACTGCTTGATCTTGTTCATTACCTATTTTCAACGTAACGAATCTTTGGTACCAGTGTGGCTTTAACTTGGATCTTTGTCCAAAGCAAATTATTGGTCCCGTTTTATCAGACTGATGCAAATTAAATAATCTATAAAGCAAAGCAAGCTCTATAAGTCAAAAATCAGTTTTCTCGGAAATCGTGATTTACCTCATACAAAGCCAAAATCATAATGTGTGCAATTGCCCTTGTAATCGGATAACGTCAAAAAGAATCTTGCAAGCGGAACGAAACAGTCGCAAAAAGTCAAGAAACGAATATATGCGGATACAAAAAAAGTGTCACCTTTTTGGCTTTTTTGTGCTAGACTCGTTGTCTTTCGATGACAACACCTAGAGAAACAATGCTTTCAAGGTACTACTTCCAAGGGTTTGTATAACACAACTACATATAAGTGAAATCAGGCCGCTCATATATTTTAAGTTGCGGTCACAAATTTTTTGCGTTTTACTTGATGCTCGCAATGATTGTTGTGCGCATGTGCTGACCAAGCAGAAGGTTCGTAGATTTTTCCTCGATTGAGAATTGAGATGCCGTTTTTTGAGGCATTCGATTTTGAATTTTTGCGTCAAACTGCGTTCGGATTACGAGTACACGTCCCTTTGATACACTGGGATTGGAGGCTGGAAGGCGGGTTTGAAGCTTATCAAGACTAGAGAATGGTCAGAGAGCACGTTCGAGGGAGAGAGACGCAGATTGCGTTGCGGGTGCGAGCGGGCTACTTCCAGCCGCCAGTCCAAAAGAATCAAAAGGTAATTATTCTGTAAGGCATGCTAGCTCTTATCGAGTAGTGTCGTTAATACACTGTCTGTGGCAGAAGGAGTTAATTTTGCATCAAAATGATTTTGTCTTGAGCGCAGAGATCAGCAGGTTACGAGAGCTGCACAAATCGTCGTAACAGCGGCACATTTGAAAAAACCATAAGCTTTCAATGTATATACAAGCCTTACTAATTATGATTTCAAAATCTTAATTTTGTATGTGCTTTTGTAACCGAGAAATATTAAGTTTTACATAAAAAACCAGAAAAAAGTGACATAGCATTTTTAGATCATCTTTATTCTCTATTTTGGGCTCCGGAGAAAAATCCGCTAATTCATTTTTGGATACTACTGTGTGTCTAGCTTATAAAGACCAAGTTGAAAGAGATCCGATTTTTAGGGTCTCAGAAAAATTCTGATTTTTGGCCCCAAATTTTACCTGGGTTGGGTAGTTCTTTTTTAGAGCTTGCTCCGTTCCATCGAATGGTACCTTAGGTCTATCAGGAAAACGAGAACAGCTCAGTTTATTTGGAAATGCAGTTTACTTTTGGGACAACTTGATACTTTTCAATACAAATTTTTGGTAAGCAACGCGTTTTGTTTCCCACCAAAGTCTTCCACGTGTTTGATGGGTAATGGTTTACCTGCTGGCTACTGAAGTTTACTCCCTGACGTTGTGAAGGTGACTCTAAAACTTAGTTGAAGTTAGACAAGGTAAAGACAATGAGAAGTTGGCCAATGGAAATTGGAGTGCCAGTCAATAATCTCTAGGAAACTGCGGGGATCCTTGAACGAGCTTTCAAAGTTTAGTATGTGTATTGTTTTTATTATAGTTGTATTATATTTCTTTAGTTGTTTTTAGAACTTTATTATGAAATTTGAAATCCGAACTTACACTTTTGTATAGGAAGGCAAAAAAGGCATTTTGAAATCTTTAGAAAAGTATAAAACTGAAGGTCAAAGCAAGACGAATGGTTTACCAAAATTTTTATTACAGGATTATGTTTCAACCATCTTTCGCAAGCATTAGGCCTATAATAGGAATACTAAGATTAAGCTTGGCAATGCATTCCGAAGCAGTGAGGGACTTAAGTGGTATTAAGTAATGCAAATGCTTTTGCTAAGCGATGGGATACGTTAAATGGGCTTTTAATGTTGTTGATGTGGTAAGAATTACAAGAGGGCATAATGATTGCATAGACCCACTTAAATAGCATCGTACTTGTAAGGTCTTTCAGTGCTCCACTTTCTGAGGCGTGCGGTCTTTCTCCTTCTTCTGGCATAGAATATAATTTTGAGTTGTTATTGAACAATCAATTGCTCTTGATTATGGTTGTTGAACAGAGGAATCTATCGGAAAAGTTTCCAATATCTAAACAGAAATTGGTGCGTAATTCGCGAGCTAAAGATGAATTCTTTTGCATTAGAAAATCCGGAGCCATGAAATTTTTTACACCATTCATGTATCAGCTGCTAATTTCCTTACTGTACAGCGGCCACCTCAAACTTCTCGCAAATTCCTTTCTTATATGCATCGGTAACATTCACCTCAACAACTTTTTCAGTTTTTCAAGCATTATGATCGAAATGTTCAATCACCTTATAGTTGTTCTTGTGTTCATTGTTGGCGTTATGAGCCAGCTGGTCGAAGGTAATGAGCTTATTGCATTCTAATCAGAAGTATCATTGGCTAGTGCTCTAGGTCACTATTCAGGTCAAATACTCGGTGACGTACTAACGAATGAGTCAGTCGGGCGCCCATAAGGAGGATGTAAGCATTACTTTTTTTGAAAAATTCTTTGAATTCTTCCGTATATATAGACTGGAAACATCACGCGACGACGAAAATTACGGATCGTCTCCTACCCTGTCCCCTTTCGTCGTTGCCGAGGGCAAGTTATTGACAGTGTGAGCGCGCGAGACATCACACTCTCTCGCAGAGGTTTTCGACTGCGCGAGCGTGAGTGTATGAACTTCCTAAGGCGCAAGGGAGCGCGAAATGAGAAAGTGATTGTAAAATCGTGGATTGATCGCCGCCGGCAATGCCGAATGCATTTCGAGAATTACTGTAGCCGTGACTC